ACGGACATTTGCTATAAAGATATATCTTTCTGTGCAGGAATACCTTCTAATGAAGTTCAGCTTTAATTCCACCACTGAGTATTGTTAAATAGTTTTACAGAGGAGAGTCCATTCTGTCATGGTATAAAGGAACATTTTTTTACAGAAGCTGTACACTGTTTGTACAAAATTTGCAAAATGAAAATCAACATGCTTTCAAGAAAAAGAAATGTGGATCATAGAATCTTAATTGTCAAGTCATGGAGTTCTGAATGATAATTTCTTCCTGCAACTTGGTTGTCTAGTTCTAAGCCAGGGGTAGGCAACCTTGGCTCTTTTATGACTCGTGGACTTCAACTCCCAGAATTCCTAAGCCAGCCATGCTGAGGGGAAAGGGAGAGGTTTCCAAGCTAAGCCATGCTGGCTCAGGAATTCTGGGAGTTGAAATCCACGAGTCATAAAAGAGTCAAGGTTGCCTACCCCTGTTCTAGGCCAAAGCCTTTTAATTATCCAAAGCTGCATGTCAGCTATATGTTGCTTATAAAATAGATGAACTTACAATAATTTCCTTTACACTGTTGTGCATTTTGTCCTTGTTTTCCTTTTGTCTAGTGAATGCTAGGAACTCAGTATTGTTTGAAAGACCAGTTGCTTTCCTCCAATTTTTTAAATTCATCTTTTATAAAAAAAAAAAAAAACAACCCTTGTTTAATCCCTTCCTTCTGACAAGTCTTTAGCTCCAGGAACAACTCAAGCTCTACTTTTAAACATATTAAAGTTCAAGCCCTATTGAACAGAATGGGCTTGCACCTGGATAAGTAAGTTTAGGTTTGTGTTGTATGTTAGTTGCATTTTCTAACATCTGTTCCTCGTGGGGGTGTGTGAAGCTTTTATCTCCTTAATTTTCTTCTGATCATCTGAAAGTAAATAAGATCCTTAAAGATGAGACTCTCCTTTATATACTGTAAAACAGTACATGTAATGATGGTGTTACATAAATAATAGGCATTTTAAAAAGAAATATTTTTTGCTCCTGAAATCATAAAAGTGGATAATGATGTAAAAAACCCCTTTCTTTAATGCAAGTTGGGCGTTTAATAAAGCAAATCTTTTTGTAAAGAAACTTGCTTCAGACACAATAATTACAGTGTTAAAAAAAACAAGTTTACTGCTCGAATCTTGCAAGTCTGTTGAAGAATGTTAGAAAAGCACAAAAGCTGGCACCATTAGCTTTCATCCATGCTGAGCTAGCAGTAAAGTGAGCATAGAAGAATATATTAATTGGCATTACTTGAACAGTTTAAAATGTTCATTCTACAGGAACCTTTATATATATTTTCTTAATTAAGAAAGGGGAGAAAACTATAGTTTTTGCATTAAACCAAAGTATACATAAGATTTTAAGGTTGTATCATACATCAAGACTTGCTTCTGAAAAGGGAGATAAATTAGTTCAGTCTGGGAGGCTTTGAATATAGTAATGATAATTGATAGATATTATTAAAAAATTGATTAACTTGTCTTTCTTTTACTTGTTGCATTTAAAAATGCCTTCCTGATTACTGCACCTTGAATCCGAATAAACAATTAACTGACTAATTATTCTAGTCACACCAACTTACAATGAAATCTTTATTCAGTGTTTACAGCCATCTTTGGCAAAGAATGCCTTGCTGTTTTTAAACTAAGAAGAACTGCACCCTTTGGCTTGTCTCGGCCTCAGCTGCCTTGGTTTCAGAGCTGGATGCCAATAATCAGTCTTCTTTTTCTTTCTTCTAAAGTGGACACTTTAAAAAAAAGGGTGAAAGAACTATTCTCATCAATGCTCCATATATTCTGGCTGATTTATGTCCCAGCCACTGGGTCTCTTCCTTCCGTATCTTTTAAACATCTATTTTCTTGCACCTAAGTTCATCCTTTCTACTGTTCCTCCTCCTCTATGTGTAGAAAGAGAAATAGGCAGCATCTTATAAAGGATCTGCCATGATGAGCTCAATCTCACCTATTAAATTTAGCAGGGGAAAACCATAAAACTGATTATGGGTGAAAGGAAGAGAAGGAGGGGGAAATTACCTCATTTTGCTTAAAGTACCGAAACTGTATTTTTTTATATTCATAGAAAACTCAAGTTGTACGAGATATGCATCTTGTTCTTCCAAAATACATCTTAATTTTTCTATACTTTTACAATTCTCTATTCTTACATATGATTTTCTTTTTTAAAACAATATTCTATTTCATGTTACTCCTTAAAATCTATCATAAACTGAATTGCATAAATATATCCACATTTTAACTTGTATAAGAATCTCCAATTCTGCCCTCAAAGGTCCAAAGGTCCATTTCTTTAAGTTTTTCCTTGAAGAGAACCCTATATTTTTGCTCCCCAGTCCATACACAAAAACTCTTCACTTATTTTGCTTTGTTCTCTGCTTTTTAATGCACTTATATTTAAAAGGCCTAGCAGGTACAATTTCTATCATTTCCATGAAGATTACCACTGTGGTAATTTTCCCTATAACTTCCTTGATTTTTTTTCCTCTTTGCCACCATGAAGTTAACACGTCTAATATATTTATTAGAAGAACTCAACTTAGTGAGAGATATGCATATTTTGTCTGTAGGCCTCTCATACAGATAGCTATTTTCTTCAATGATCATTCCATCCTATTCCCAAGTGTTTAGAAGTCAGATCCCAAATTGCGGAACAAATGCTCCAATAAGCTAGAAGGGAATTCCATAGATCTTTCACTGTAAAAGAATCATATTTAAAATTTGCTTGCATTTTTATACCATATACAAATTATAATACAATAGAGCTTTAATTTCATTAAAAATACAATAAAATCAAAACACATTGGCAACAGCTGCATGTTCAAAATACAAGTGTCTTCACCTGATATATGGTTCCAGATATAACATCTTAAAGTACTCCAGTGGCACTGTGCCACAACTGAAAAAAAAACCCTCACTATCTTCTGTATACTCATAGCTAAGACCCTTGGAATAAAATCTTAGATCCAAACAGAAGTGAAATATGCCTCTTCAGATGTCTGGGTGCTAAGGACCAATATGATGAATTGGGCCCAGACTTAAATTAACTCAAAGAACATTGCATTGCAATCTTTTTAGATGATTTCCTTTGATTCATTCTCTTTTTACATGTGCACTTAACTCTTTCTCTTGCACATCACAGTAACTTTTGACTTACATCATATACTGTTCTCTATCTGTCTATCTATCTACTTCTTTCACCTTCAAGATATATGAAGATTACATCAGTCAAATCTATTTCTTTATTTATCATTGCACCCCATCATTACAGCAGCTGAATTCAAGGTGACTTACAAAACACAACCTCCTAATAGCCATCATATTTCAAACAAAAATAAAGTGGCATTACAGTAAGAAACCAGATAAAACACTGCTACTTCCTGGATTTAAAAAAAAGCAGGCAAGTGGTTTCTTGTTTGCCTGCTCTTGGAAACAAAGCAAGGAGATCTGGGACCACATTGCTCTCCCCCCCCCTCACACACACACAAACACTAATTTTCTCCTTTTGGATTCTGAAGCACAAAAGATTGGTCCTTGATGAAAACCACTTTCAGTCACCTGTATGAATAGAACAGCGGTGGTGATTAAGTTAACTAGCCTGGTCCTTCAAAGCCCTAAGTGATGGGTGGACAAATAAACAAGCAAAGATGGCTCTTTCCCCTCCCTTTGGGCAAAACTGCCTCCTGATTACCCTCCAAACTAGAATGTAAAAGTAGGCAGTACTTTTCAGAGAGCAAAGGCAAGTAAGAAATTGGAACCAGGAACCCCATCATTTCTGTTGAGGGAAAGAAAAGCTGACTGATTATTTAGTGGCATTAGCTTCTCCTAGAAGAAACAGTTGCTGACACATCTGACCTTCTCTCTTTGGCTGGTATGTTCCTTGGGGAAGGTGGAGAAATGCGCAAGCAAGGGAATGTAGCCACTGTTCCTTTTTCAAAGCTCATTTTTTCCTGGACATCTCAATAAGGTGGACTGCTGGAAAGAAAGTTGCTACTTCCACCTGTTTAGTCACAAAGTGGGCGACTCAGCTGCACACCTCTTTCTTTGACCTGGTCACTTATGAGTGGCACTGAGGTGGACCAAGCAGTAAGGGACTGTGGCCACTGTCTCTAAATGCACACCTCCCTTCTTCCTTTATTCATCTGGGCACTCTCCCTCTTTCAACATGGCATTCAAAGGTCATGAACAAGCAACAGAAGACAATGGCCTGTGCTTTCACCCACTTGCCTTTGCCCGATAACTCAACCTCTCACACCTGGTCTTGTGGAGCACTGAAGCCAATTCCTACCATCATCCCCTTTGGTGGAAGGGGCTATTTGGGGAAAAGGTGCTGCAACGGCCAGAGAAAAACAGGCAGAGAGAAGCTAGTAAGTGGCCTGAAGAAGTCGTGCTCTGGCTATCCCTCTAGGCAGCCTGGTGACCTAGAGGGATAGGACCAATTCCCATAAATCCCAGTCTGGTCTACCCACACCAACTGCCATAAATCCCAGTCAACACAACTCAAGGGAAAAGCTGCTCTAGAGCATAGGGTCCACCTCCCTATTGCAATATCCAGAGCAGAGGAACAGGAGTGAGGGTACAGGAAGAGTGGGGGCTCTCTTGCCTTCTTAGTTGCAACCCTGCCCCAGAAGTGGAAAAATTAATGAAAAGAAGAATAGGAGAACTTGTCCCCCCCCACTCCCAACTGGGGTGGGAAGCAGACCGATTATTATCTAGTTAAGACTTGGACGTGTCTCCTTACTTCAAAGAGAAAACGGGGACGGGTGTGTGTGTTAGGTGTTACAGTTCCCTCGCAGGGGTTCTGTCTCACTCAATCACCCATCCATTTTAACCGCTACCGAAGCTCCTTTGTTCAGGACGTTCCATCATCCACTTCCCCATTGACTTTGCCCAGTGCGGATCCTTCCCCAGAGACGACCCGCTTCTACGAGACCCTCTTTTAACAACCGTCGCTGCGCATCCCTTACCCGGCGAGGTAGCGTTTTTCCTCCACTCGGTCTTAGGTAATTTAAAGGAAGCAGAGCCGCTCTCCGGCCCTCGCTCGTCTTCGTCCCAGAAGCCTCGACCCCCCCCAACAGCACCGAGCGGGAAAGCGGCGCCTCTCGGGCGCTCTTCCCCACGCGCGCCTTCGTAAGGTCCCAGCAAAAACTCCAGCCCCGCGCAAAAAAAGGCTTCGCGCCTGAAGAAGTGGCCCGACGCAAACCCGACTCGCTCCTGCCGCCTGCAGCCCGGCGCTTCTTCTGGTAAAACGCCGGACCGAGGCAGTTTGGCAGGAGTTTTCCGCGGCTTCTCCAGCTCCGGCGGATGCCGTAGTTTTGAGCCCTTCGCCTCCCTCGCTTCCTTCGGGTCTGCCGCTGGGTTCGGCTGTAAGCAGGCAAAAAAGAACTGGCCCTTTCTATCCGAAGGAGAAGGAACAGACCGAAAGCGTGAATTTAAAAAAAAAAAAAAAGAAGAAGAAGGCTAAAGGAATAGCTGACAAACCCTGGCGGGGGCAGGGGGGAGGAGGCTTCCTTTCCCGCTTCTTGGAAAAGTAGCTCTGGTGAGGGTTCTCCCCGTCCCTTTTCTCGGGTTCTCTTCTTCAGTGATATCTCGCTTCTGACAGGTAGACTTCTCTCAGCCTCCTTGTTTTCCGAAAGCCCTCGCAGGTAGGCGGGAGGAGGAGGGAAGAGGAGGGGGACGCCTTCACAACGCGAGGTGGGAGGGAGGAAAAAAAAAAAAGCTTTTTGATATATTTTTTGGTGGGAAAAAGTATCTATTTGCTCCCCTTTTCTTCCTCCCTCATCTTGCTCTTGCGCCAAGTGGCTGCTGTTTCGCTCATGAATATTCCGCGAGAAACGAGAGCCGCTAAAATAAATTGAATTAGCCCATTGGGGCCAGGAATCTGCGCTCTCCTTCCTCCTGGAGGAGCTGTCTGGAAAGCCACCAGCTTAAAATGATTGGTGGCCCGTTGGTAAGTTGAAGAGGAGACAGAGGCAGTAGTGCTCAATGGGCAACGAACGCACAAGGGTATCTTTCCTCCCTGGGCATGGTCTATAGATTTGCAGTCCACACAGATCTCCTTGAATGTGGAAATGATGGACTTTCATTGTGGGGGTTGGGGATAGTAGTTCATGGACATGGCTTATGGACTCTATATAAAGTTACCATTTTTGAGTTATCTATACTTTGGGTTGGTTTTTGTATTTCAAGCAGGAGCTCCAGACAGGGCAATCCCACCTCTTTTTTATGGAATAGGCCAGTTTTTCTCAAAGCTGAGTCTGGAGGTCCCAAGACTGTTTCAGGGGATTGGCAATATTTAATTTCTGATGCTATAAAATATTGATAAATACAACCAACATCAACCAAAGCTCTTTGGGGGTCCTTGATCATTTCCCACAATATAAAGGGGTCCTGAGACCAAAATGTTTGAGAATTATTGGAATAGGCTAAAGGAGAGATAAGGACTGGCCCTAAATCTTGCAGTGAAAACCATGGTTTCCCCAAATTCTTTCCATACTCGCTCAAAGCCATTCAACAGTTAATACTTACAAGTCTTGGTCTCCATGTTCCTTTCAGCAGGACTTCACAGTTTTTGGCAGCTGCTTGTAGCAACTTGGCTAAAAAGAATGAACTGATTACCAGTGAGTTTGAACTGGGTAAAGTCAGGAATATATCATACAAATTCTGCTGTTAGAAAGATTGATTTGGGTTTACTGCCAAGGCAGTTATGGGTTGTATAGCCATTCAGAAGCTTAAAACTCTCCTTCAACCCTGCATGAGTTCTTCAGTTAAAGGGTAGTAATGGTTATTAGCATGGTGGCCATGTAAGAACCATGTTCCATGCATCTTAGCAATGCAGCAGCTAAGAAGGCCACTGTCATTCCTATCAGATATGGTCACCCTTCAAGATAGACCAGACTAGGAACCAAAGCCATGCTCGCAAATACTACTTTTATTATAGTAGGATAGGATAATATAGTAGTATAGTATAAGGTTATAGTAACAGAACCTTGCAATTCTGAAGATGCTTCCCTCGTCCCTCCCTTAATCTTCATGAGAACTAAGGAGGGTCTTTTCTAAGATGCTTACTCAGTTCTGCTCCACACTCAAATTTCTTTTATCTGACCATTGCCTTGGTTGCACTTCTTCCTTCTTTTCCTCAAGACTATTCCTGCAGCACATCAAAGATACAGAGCACAAGGAATTGGCAGAAGTCTGCTGATTTGGCCCATGCAAATCTTGGACAAGGTTTCTGGGAACCATCATGATACAAAGCCCTGCAAGACATACAATGCCCTAGAAACTAAAAAGCTGAAGATCTACTTTATTAGCTATTTCCAAGTTGGTTCCTTTCCCATCACTATAATTCTGAAGTTGGGAGTAAGAGTTCAGGCGTCTTTCCATTCATCAGAAGGCAAGAATACATATGAAGCGTGCTGGCCTGGTTCTGGATGAGGTGTCTCACAATTTTTATACAACACTGCAGGGGGTTCTGACTTTGCTTGTGTCTTTGCTTAGCTCAGGAGTGTCAAACTGCCAGCCCGCCGGTTGCATCATGCGGAGGCCACGCCCACCCCAGCTCCTGCAATGAAAAAAAAAAGTCGCGATATGTGACATAGCGAGTTTGACACCCATGGCTTAGCTTGTGGCTGAGCATGTCTTTGAACTAGTCTGGGAACAATTCTTCATTTTTGAAGATGCAAGAACTACCATCTGCTTTGAAAGGCACTTTTGATTTTTTAATTCAGGGTACTTGTTGGTCTGCGAGGAAGAAAATAAACTTTGTACATGCTCAGAAAAGCTTTGGTAAAAATAACCCCTTACACCATACAGATAGCATGGTAAGAGATAGCAGGGTGGGCAAATCAAGTATGCAAACTTATAGACAGTCACACAGGACACCAAGGTTTTACTCTTTGTACTTAAAGTATAACATAAATCTCTTATAGCTTTGTTTTCTCTTCTGGTAAATAGGATCCAAATAATTTTGTTTCCCCTTTATGGATTACTGCCTTGTCGTGGCGAAGGGGCTTGCATAACTCAATGAAGCTATAAGCTATGCTGTGCAGGGCCACCCAAGATGGACAGGTTATAGCAGAGAGTTCTGACAAAATGTGATCCACTGGAGAAGGAAATGGCAAACCACTCCAGTATCTTTGCCATGAAAACCCCATGGACAGTACTAAAAGGCAAAAAGATATGACACTGGAAGATGTCGGAAGGTGTCCAATATGCTACTGGGGAAGAGCAGAAGGCTAGTACTAGTAGCGCCAGAAAGAATGAAGCGACTGGGCCAAAGCCGAAAGGATGCTCAGCTGTGGATATATCTGGTGGTGAAAGGAAAGTCCGATGCTGTAAAGATTTTTTCTCTATAGGAACCTGGAATATAAGATCAATGAATCAAGGCAAGCTAGACGTAGTCAAAAAAGAGATGACAAGACTGAACGTCGACATCTTAGGAATCAGCGAACTAAAATGGACAGGAATGGGTGAATTTAACTCAGATGACCATCAGGTATACTACTGTGGGCAAGAATCCCTCAGAAGAAATGGAGTAGCCTTCATAGTTAATAAAAGAATAGGAAAAGCAATACTGGGATACAATCCCCAAAATGACAGAATGATCTCAATTCGAATCCAAGGCAAACCTTTCAATATCACAATAGTCCAAATCTATGCCCCTACCACTGGTGCTGAAGAGGATGAAATTGACTGGTTCTATGAAGCCCTACAGCACCTTATAGAATTAACACCAAAAAATGAATTCCTTATCATCATGGGGGATTGGAATGCTAAGGTAGGAAGCCAAAAGATAACAGGCAAGTTTGGCCTTGGAGTACAAAATGAAGCAGGGCACAGGCTAACAGAATTTTGTCAAGAGAATACGATGGTCATAACAAACACTCTTTTCCAACAACCCAAGAGACGGCTCTACACATGGACATCACCTGATGGTCAACATAGAAATCAAATTGACTATGTGCTCTGCAGCCAAAGATGGAGAAGCTCTATACAGTCAGTAAAACAAGACCAGGAGCTGACTGTGGCTCAGATCATGAGCTTCTCGTTGCAAAATTTAGGCTTAAATTGAAAAAAGTAGGGAAAAGCACTAGGCCACTCAGGTATGAACTAAATCATATTCATGATGAATATACAGTAGAGGTGACAAATAGATTTAAGGAATTAGATCTGATAGACAGAGTGCCTGAAGAACTATGGACGGAAGTTCGCAACATTGTACAAGAGGTAGCAACTAAAACCATCCCAAAGAAAAAGAAATGCAAGAAAGCAAAATGGCTGTCTGAGGAAGCTTTGCAAATAGCTGAGGAAAGAAGGGAAGCGAAAGGCAAAGGAGAAAGAGAAAGATACACCCAATTGAATGCAGAATTCCAGAGAGTAGCTCGAAGAGATAAGAATGCCTTCTTAAATGAACAGTGCAAAGAAATAGAAGAAAACAACAGAATAGGGAGGACCAGAGATCTCTTCAAGAAAATTGGAGATATGAAGGGAACGTTTCATGCAAAGATGGGCATGATAAAGGACCAAAATGGCAGGGACCTAACAGAGGCAGAAGAGATTAAGAAGAGATGGCAAAACTACACAGAATAACTATACAAGAATGAGCTTAACGTCCCAGATAACCACAATGAGATGGTCACTGACCTCAAACCAGACATCCTAGAATGTGAAGTGAAATGGGCCTTAGAAAATCTGAGCAACAACAAAGCTAGTGGAGGTGACAGTATTCCAGCTGAGCTATTCAAAATCTTAAAAGACGATGCAGTAAAAGTGCTACACTCAATTTGCCAGCAAATTTGGAAAACTCAACAGTGGCACAGGATTGGAAAAGGTCAGTTTACATTCCAATTCCAAAGAAAGGCAATGCCAAAGAATGTTCAAACTATCGCACCATTGCATTCATTTCACATGCTAGTAAAGTTATGCTTAAAATCCTACAAGCTAGACTCCAGCAGTATGTTGATCGAGAACTACCAGAAGTACAGGCAGGATTTCGAAGAGGCAGAGGAACTAGAGATCAAATTGCCAACATACGCTGGATCATGGAAAAAACTAGGGAGTTCCAGAAAAATATCTACTTCTGCTTCATTGACTATGCTAAAGCCTTTGATTGTGTGGATCACAACAAATTGTGGCAAGTTCTTAAAGAGATGGGAATACCAGACCATCTTATTTGCCTCTTGAGAAACCTATATGCGGGTCAAGAAGCAACAGTGAGAACTGGACACGGAAACACTGATTGGTTCAAAATTGGAAAAGGAGTCCGGCAAGGCTGTATACTGTCGCCCTGCCTATTTAACTTATATGCAGAGCACATCATGAGAAAGGCAGGGCTAGATGAATCAAAAGTTGGAATTAAGATTGCCGGGAGAAACATCAACAACCTAAGATATGCAGATGATACCACTCTAATGGCAGAAAGTGAAGAGGAACTTCACTTGATGCGGGTGAGAAGGAGAGTGCAAAAGTTGGCTTGAAACTCAACATTAAGAAAACCAAAATCATGGCATCCGGCCCTCTCAATTCTTGGCAAATAGATGGGGAAGAAATGGAGGTAGTGACAGATTTTATTTTTCTGTGCTCCAAGATCACCTCAGATGGGGACTGCAGCCAAGAAATTAAAAGACGCTTGCTCATGGTGAGGAAAGCTATGGCAAATCTAGACAGCATACTAAAAAGTAGAGACATCACTCTGCCAACAAAAGTGCGTATAGTCCAGGCCATGGTTTTCCCAGTTGCAATGTATGGCTGTGAAAGTTGGACCATAAGAAAGGCTGAGCGCCAAAGAATTGAGGCCTTTGAACTATGGTGTTGGAGAAGACTCCTGCGAGTCCCTTGGACTGCAAGGCATTCAAACTGGTCAGTCCTAGAAGAGATTAACCCCGACTGCTCTTTAGAAGGCCAGATCCTGAAGTTGAAACTCAAATACTTTGGCCACCTAATGAGAAGGAAGGACTCACTGGAGAAGGGCCTAATGCTGGGAAAGATTGAGGGCAATAGAAGAAGGGGACGACAGAATGAGATGGCTGGATGGAGTCACTGAAGCAGTAGGTGTGAACTTAAATGGACTCCAGAAGATGGTAGAGGACAGGATGACCTGGAGGAACGTTGTCCATGGGGTCGCGATGGGTCGCAATTAACAACAACAACAACAACAATTTTGTTTCCCCATATTAGCGTAGAGTCCAGGGAAAATGGACTGAAATCTTGAATCTTGAAAATATTTTTTCCTAAGTAATAAAACTTAAGCTGCTGTTAGTACTCTCTTCTAGCATTTCTGTTATGAATGCTGCAAAACATCAACCTCAATTTTCCTATTCTATAAAAATGGAATAACACTAAATTCTTTTTC